ACAAACGAATACTAACATACAAACACTTATACAAACATACAGACGCAACGAAACATGTAGGCACACGTGCATGAATACATGTATGGCGGTTTTATTATTGGATTTTCTCATATTGATGCCAGCGCTCATAACGTGCCACTTGAAGTAATGCTATTCCTTTGCTGCTGATATTGTTGTTGCTTCCATGAATACCTCATTTACTACTGCTGCCGCGACTGTCGCTACTCCTGTTATTTCTAACATTACTACATTCAATACAGCAATACTACCCCAAATACTACATTTATCACAATTCAACAACCACTGAGATTAAACTTAATACTGCATATGCATATGTATACAACTGGGAATATTGCTTTTACACAAGATTTAATCGTAAAATCGAAATCGGTCGAGATTTTTGCCATAGTGGAAATATTCTAATAGACCAATATCAACATTTCAACAACATCTCTTTCCCTTTTTCCTTTTCTCTTTCTCTCTCTTTCTCTCCTCTCTCTCTCTCCTCTCTCTCTCTCCGTTTCTTTCTCTCTCCCACACACACTCACATACTCACATGCACACACATTTTCACGTACACGCTATGTACGTGTCGTTAATACCTCCGAGAATTGCACAAGACAGAAAACCATTAGACCTTTTTTATAATTATTACTATCGTTAGAGATTGTAAAAGTAACAGTAAAATATGGTGCAAATATGCTAGATTATGCTCTGAAACGAATTACTATTGATGAAAACATTAAAATTACGATATGAATATCAGATCCATGTGCAGTAATTATCAATTAGTAATAACAAAAATATTACAGCAAAAACTGAAGCGATATTTTTAGTAATTTAAGAATTTATTGCAAGTGTCACAATTGTCACCGTGATAAATCTGACAGCCATAACAGTGCTCTTCGTCATTTCTTTTTATCATCGACATCCACTTTTTTGAAAACATCCTATCTTTTTGTGTTTGTTGATTTCACGTTATCATCGTCTCATCATTTCTGATCACATTTGATCATTTATTGTTTTTTTTTTTTATAAAGTTTTTACTCTTATATAATCTCAACTTCGGCCCATCAATTGAATTTATCTTGAAAATGTTTTTTTTAACTCGTCCTTTCGAGGTTTTTTTAAATGTCAAAACGCGCACAGCACACAACAAACAAAAAAAATTTAAACAACACATTTGTAGACAAAAACATTGGTTGTAATCAACAGTATTAATTCTAGCAGCAAAACAACGAACAGAAAAACGCCAAAAAACCACATAGTAGTCATAATAATGAAATCAGAATCTCAAAACAAAGAATTGGACACTTAAAAAAATGAACATTCAGCAGAGGAAGCCTTTAAAAATCAACAACAAACGACTTCAAAAGTTCTTGAAAAGAGTAAAAACAATTTTATTAAACACCATCAATGGGATCTAATAACATCAGTTCTGATACAACACACACACACATTCAAAAAATAGCCACAAAATAAATTGAACAACAAAAAAATGAAAGATAACAAAAACCAACAAATAATTGACAACGAAAAACTTAGACAAAAAACAAAAAAATGGAAATCACAACACAAACAACAACATTAATAACAACAAAAACTACCACTACTAGTAATACTGCAACTACTACTACATCTACTTTCCCTACCACAACTACTATAAAATCTACTACTATTACAGCTACTAATAATGCCACTACAACAACCAAAACAGCCACAACAACTACAACAACCACACAGCCACAACGATCACAACAAAACGACTCAGGAGCCAACCGGCAAAGACCTTGTTTGATGCTGTATGCCCAGCACTTCTCTATTGCAAATTGCAACCATGGATCATTCCTTAAATTAACTTCTCGTTTATTGTTGCTGCTGCTGCTGCTGCTACTACTACTACTACTACTATTTATAATGCTGCTATTACTACCGCTACTACTGTAGACACAGCTGCTACTTCTAATACTTGTTTTACTAATATAGATGCTACTACTTGTGGGGCTAATACTGCTATTTCTTTTACTATAACCACTCCTACTATAATCACTACTACTACTACTACGATTACTACTAATACTGCTGCTGCTGCTACTACTACATGACCAACTGCTACTACTACTACTACTACTACTACTACTACGACTCTACTACTACTACTACTACTACTACTACTACCACTACTCTATTACTACTACTACAACTACTACTACTACTACTCTACTACTACTACTACTACTACTACTACTATTACTACTACTACTATTACTACTACTACTGTTATTATTACTACTATGTAGCTACATACATTTTAAAGTATTAATACAATCATTTTCCTTATTTCTTGTAAAACTATTATTATTATTATCGTTGAAAAGAAATTCCAACAATAATACTACCTATAATAATAATAATAATAATGATAATTATAATTATTATTGCAATAAATTATACTATTATAATAGCAAGAGTAATATTAATTTTTCTAATATAACTAATAGTAATAATAATAACTTTATAGCATTTTTTTTACAAAAAAATGTATCTAAATGAGGGTACGCATCGACAATGACAACATGCAATGCTAACGAACGTTATTGTTGCTACATCACTTGCCGCTGCACAGTGGACACGCTCGCGACCACACACGCACACACACACGCACACACACATCCACACACACATCCACACACATTTATACACGTTCTGAAACGACTAAGCAAGCAAGCAAGCCAACTCACACTAAGAAACACACATCCGTGTATACACATAAACAGAAAGCCGACAAACAATATTGAAAAATAATTTTAAGGATACAAACACACACACACAGACAGACATACAAATACATACACACATTTAATTAGAGAAAGAATCTCAAAGAGAAAAAGAAAGAGAAAAAGCGAATATGTAAAAGAAGAAAGAGAGAGAGAGAGAGAGAGAGAGAGAGAGAGAGAGAGAGAGAGAGAGAGAAAGATGATGCTACCATAGATGTGTATGATTATGTACAAATTAAAAAAATTAACGAAAAAGAAAGAGAGAAAGAGAAAATAGTGAAAAAAAGAAAGAAAAAAAAGGGAATTGAGGAAAATAAGGAAACCAAAAAAGGTAGCATAAAGTAAATGAAAGTGCGACAAAATGAATGAAGGAGAAGACACGATAGAGTAATACCACTATACCTATATAAAACACACACACCGAAAGAGTACAAAGCAGCCAAATGTAAAAACGCATTAGGCAATATGGCCTCATATGATACTCTAACTGTGGCTGCTTTAATACTTCCTTCAGTAATAAAATACTCCATTGCATGCTGGCTACTTCCATTACTACGAAGGTTAAAAGTGTAAAACTGCTTCGAAACAATTGCTTAATGTTACTAGTATCAATTTGTAAAATTGAATTACGTGATATAACCATCAAAATATAACAACAAGGACATTACCAAAAAGATATAGCCACAATGGTATAACCACGAAGATATAACCATAAAGATATAACCACAAAGATACAACCACAATTTTTTAACCACGTTAATGTAACTCTAATTGTTAATGTCGTTGCAAAACATGATGTTAAATGCTACTATTTATAATTATATTAATCCCACCAATGACGTTAACGTTCGATTACTGCTGTAATCATTATGTCAAATGTTACTATATAAGACNGGTGATGATGATGGTGATGATGGTATAATTAATATAAAAAATAT